TTCGGCGGTATGCTCTTATGATAAGCGCAGATATGCATACGTATGTACATACATATGTATGTGCACACATAGCGGCAGCGCACCTCTGAGCATGTGATGCCTTTTTGGAAAGCTTACAGAACAAATTTTAACAAAAAGGAAGACAAAGAGATTCCACGCAACACGAACAACAATCAACTCAAAAATTTACAAATCAAAACCATCTAAAAAATAATAATATTACAATATAATGCAAAGATAGCATTGTGAATCATCCGATTCAACCTGAAGAAAGTACAGGTTGCATATAAGCCGCATCTCGTTGGAATTACAGAGAAGGATGACAACTGGAATCCGACAGTGCAACAAAGCGCAAAATTAAAAAAAAAAAAAATTTGGTTGATGGTTTTTATAAAAAAAATTTTCAAAAATTTATGTTTGAACGCCTGTTTCATTTAATTTTGTGTCATTCTGTAGAACGGAATATTTTATGATAGATTTTGTTTTTAAAACTTTTTTGTATAAAAAAATTGTTTTCTGAAAAAAAAAGTGCAATTTGTATAAACTGTTATTTACATTACATGTTTTTTTTTTCATAGGTAGCGCTTTTTTTTTCAAATAACTTAAATATCTTATATCTGGTTGCATAGGTTGCAGTTCTGTAAAGCTGACAAATGCAGATATAAATCCAACCCAGACAATTTGTATCTGCAGCTTAACGCCGGGAAGATATTAAGCTTTCAAATTCAAATTTAATACCGTTTTTGCTGTATTTTTTCCCAAAATTTTGACTTTAAAAACTCAGAAAAAGTGGAAAATAAAGATATTTCTTGGAATGCATTTTTAGTTTTTAGACGCATTACTTAGGCGTCGTTTTAGGTATCGTTTGTATGAATCGATGTGTAAACGTCCAAGTTTTATCCGTTTAACCAAAACGACGCAAAACTCATTTTACCTGAAAAAATACCGTCCGGAACGTTGCTGGTCCAGCTTCCCATTAGAATCATTAGAATCAGATTCCCTTATGAGAGTCTACATATAGTCGGCCGACATATTCTCATTCCAAACATCTTGATACCGTCGTTACATAGCTTTTAATTGCTCTTAATTGAAATCTCTGTCCGTGTTCATCACTAACGTCCCTTAGGTTTGTTGGAAAAAAATCTAAGTGGGAGTGCAGGAAATGAATTTTTAGTGACATGTTGGCTCCAAATTTTTCATAATTCTTCATTAGTTCCTGAACGATATTAAAGAAATTATCACTCTTCCTGTTACCGAGAAAACCAGTCGGAATGAGTTCCAGGCTGCTTTTTCATTCATAGATAAATAGATAGATAGATCGTAGATCATATTATAGTAGTTTTTTAATTTGGGGGCCCTCAAATACGCCTTCTTTAACTTTTGCCAGGGACAGACGTGAAAAAACAGTTTTTAGGTAAATCATCGATTCACCTTCTTTATCCAGTGCTTTAGTGCTTTTTCATTAGTCCCAGCTTAATGTGTAATGGTGGTAAAATAACGTCATCAAAATTCAGGAGAGCTGCATTTTGTATGTGGTAATTTTCCAATGTATTTTCTTCCAGTTTTGGCCTGAGTTTTCTTGAGTAGTGCTCAGTTCTAGCTCTACTATCCCATAGGCACAGGAAACAGAAGTATTTTGTGTAACCACCTTGCAATCCCGTTAACATGGCTACGACTTTTAAGTCACACGCGACCTTCCTCTGGTGTTCTTTATATTTTATATTTTAAGCAATTTAGCAATTGCTTGATATGTTTCCTTCATACCAACAGCATGTGCGAGAACAGACGGCTTTTAGATTCCATTGTGTAACAAAACAGCCTTTAAACTTTCGTTACTGTTGTCAACAAATAACCTCCAATATTTTTGGTCGTAAGCTTCACTCAATTGCTTGAAGAGTCCGAAAATGTCGTGGCAAACGCACATGTCATCCTTCGTCATATAAAATTGTGCGTGAACCAAATGACGCGTCCGGAATTGAGTTATTTTGACATTTTCCTTCAATAAAAACATCCAAGAAGCTCGGCTTTACTTTTAGGAAGATCCAGGATTCTCACCAAATCGTGTGAAAGAGGCTTGCAATATTTATAGTCCTTCAATCTCGGGTTCTCTCCATAGCATAGGAGTAAAAGTAACTGTCCTTTTTGTTTCATGCAATCACATTTTGGCAGTTGCGCCAGCAACGTACCGGACGGTATTTTTTCAGGTAAAATGAGGTTTGAGTCGTTTTGGTCAAACGGCTGCAACTTGGCCGTTTATCCATCAGCTTTTTAGAAATGCAAATTTGTATGCAATCAGATATAAGTTAATTAAGTTATGTGAAATATAGAAGCACTCACTCTGAAAAAAACATGAAAAAAAATAACAAATTTGAAAAATTCTTAAAAAAAAAAATCATAAAAATAACACATAATTTCCGAAATGTATCAGAAAAAGTCATTTTGGTCCACAGCAGGAAAAAAGTTTAATTTTGTCGAGTAGTGTTATGGTTGTTAAATTTCGATAAATTCGTAAACATTAAATGTATTTAGTAAGCAGCGAAGCGCGCGGGTCTGCTAGTTAGTTTCTAAATATATTGAAAGGTACCGAATTCACCAAAAAAAAATTAAAATAAGCAAAAGTTTTCGGTATATTTATAGACATGTTTTCTCCTACTATTATCTCCTAAAAAAAGATATGTTTCTCTATCTAACATATTAAGCTATCTAAAAAAATTAACAAACAAATTTCCCAATCTCAGTTAATATCCTTTTTGCACTGCCGCATAATTGTCGAAGGTGCGAAAAAATTATGCGACTCGTTTACACCCAAGCCGCATCTTTTTTCTAATATGTTGCCTTCCTAGCTCTTCGATAGCCAACAGTCTCGCTAAAAGCATTTTTTCTTTAAGTTTACGTAAAAATTCATGTCTGTTTTTTCTGAACAGCTGATTCCTGCCATGCACGAAGAGTTGCAAGAACACTTCTAGAGTTGCCAAGTACATTTTTTTTTTGTTTGATGCGAACGATATATGTATGATGTTTTTTGCTTTGACATTATAATAGGCTGCGTCTGCGTCATGCTTCTTTGCGTCTTGCCGGAGACGCAGTTTTTTTTACATAGGTTAAGCATAGGGCCCTAGTGGTGGCAAAAAGTACGTCGGTCTCTGATTCAAATGCGTCTATTCGATATATTCGATTGTTTTTTCGCTTAACAGCACTTTTCTGCCTATCAGCTCAACTATCACCACTAATAACAACAAAAATTGTAGTTTAAAAATCTAATTTTGGCGCTACAAATTTATGGTTGTGCAAAAACGTGAAAATATACATAAAATCATTAAATAAAATACTTAAAACTGATTGTATTATTATCACACGACATTTTTGTGACACCCTGATGCCATTAAGACACTGGTTTTCATAATTTGAAGAAGAACTCCCACAAACTCTACAAAGAAATGTCTGAAAAGAATAAATAAAACTGAGAATCAATTATCTTTCGTCCATTTTCTTGTCGTCTTGCATAATTCTGTGGATTTCTCAAAATTTGTTTACTTTCCTTGTTATCAAGCACCCAAATCAAAACTCAAGACGCACGTCTGCCAATGCAAACGCCTTTTCTGCTTCATTGCGTCTCTTCCGATATCGATAGCAGACGCGCCCAGTGTGAAAAGGCTATTATTGTTTGATGCCACAAAAACAGCTGTTTGCTATCGATACCCGTCGATACCCCGAATAATTGCAGTATTTTTTAAAAATACTAGACAGAATGATGCTAATGATGCGCCGCATGATTTAAGATGTCATTGTCTTCTTCTATCCACAGGGCTCTTATGGGTATCATTGTCGCATGTTCCATTTAACAGAAAAATTCAATGATGTGCCGAGTGTAAAAAGGCAATAACGGTATATTTTTAAGCTTTTATTACCGCAGAATTCGGGAACGTAACGCCATTAAACGTCGTCCGATGACTCTGAAGACTTATAAAAAAAAACAGGAAAGGTTTTTACATTGAATAACTTTGAAATGAAATGAAAATGAAATGAAATAGTCCTTGCCAATTCGCAGTGTTGCAATTTTTGTATCCCAACCTCGAAAACCACTTCTGTTTTATGTAAAGCAACTGCAGGTCATATTTTAGCTATATATTTTAAGCCGTACGCTCGAATAATTCCTAAATTACTGCCCAATTACTATTCAACAAGGATAATTATTTTTCCAAATTTTAGCTTTTTCATCATTTTTTTTCAACATTATGTCGTACGAATGTAACGTAACGTCAGAATGGAACTGCCCATATACTATAATATATATATATAAAATATAAAAATTTTTAAAATAGGACCGCCGTGTTCATGTTTTCAAAAGTAAATCGGAAATTTCCGGTGAAAGTGAAAGCTGGAGCCCGATTGAATATGATGTAGGCATAGAAAAAAAAAAAAATCGGCACCCAAGGGAGGTTTCTTTAAAAAATAGTGTTCCAGCAATAAACAATGTATGTAAGTTAATTAAATTAAAATAAATTATAAGCAAATGTATAATTAAACTGTGCGACAAATGGGAAACTTTTAAATGTACTTTGCACGAGACAAAAATTAGGATGTAGGCCTGGATGAGTGATTACTAAAATCTTCTATTAAAGATTGTTCAAACTATTAGCACTTTCATAATTTTTACTCAGAACATGCAGCGCGGGTATCCACTAAAAGTAAGAGGTTGACAAAAAAGTGTTACTACCTTTCACAGAATGTTGGATTCGTGGTGATAGAATAAAATTTTCGTGTCAACCTATTACTTTTTTTGTGGATATCCGCGCTGCAGGTTCTGAGTTTATGAATTATGAAAGTGCAACCTAAAACGCGTTTTTGAATTAAAAAAAAAACATGGGTGTTGCAAAATCTAAGAGATCTACTCATCCAGGCCTGCATCCTAATTTTTGTCTCGTGCAAAGTACACAATAACTGTTGCACAGTGTTATTGATTGATTCAAAGTCACGACCTTGTCATGTCAAATACAAACCTGTCGATTTCTTTGTCTGTGTCGTTGTCCGATACACATGATCTCGTAATCTTAATAGTTTTTATATCGACCTCTAAAAGTTTTAAATTATTATTTACATCCAACTTTATATACTTGGAAAGATCAACACCGTCATTATAATCACAAGGCAAATTTCCGTTTTTACTTGAGTAGTACCAGCGAGTTATTGACGACAGTCTCGAACTACACTCACTTGAAGATTTTTCGTTTAGATTATCACAGCTACTTTTGAACTCGGAGTCTGTGTCCAACGAACTAGATGTATCTAAAAGTAGTCTAATTTTTGCTTTATTGTTTTTTTTATGTTTAGACATCTTTGACCCTTTGAACGATTTGTCTAGAGTTTGGCATGCTGATGTACTTCCAAGGGATGCAATTTCGTGAAGTTTTTTTATTTTTGTTAATAAAATCACTTTAAATTCCTCTTCAGACGTTGATGTGTGCTCATAACACTCATTTATTAACTGTTTTGCAAAATTTATTGTGGTCATTAAAATAGGTTTTAAGACAACCTTTTCTTTCCCAAAATTTGTATAAAGATTTTCAAGGTACAGATCATCCAACTCGACTTCCAATGGCTCTGAACAGTTTTCTTTTAACTCTGTAGTACATTTTTTTGTACATAAGGATGTTTGACTAATGTCTAGGCATTTTTTATTAGTTACATCCAATTCTAATTGAATATTTTTTAGATTATTTATGGTAGTGTCAATGAAATTTGATACGTTTGGTGAAACAGGCTCAGATGCAGCTCTATTTGGAAAAATAAGATTTAGAAGCATATTTTCAACACAATCCAGGCATTGTCGACACTTAAGCGCTTCTTGTGTTGTATAGTTATGATCGCTCAATGCGTCGGAAAAGCTTATGTCAATTTTGTTCAACAAATTACATTCCTTGCGAAGAAATTTTTTTGTAGGAACTTTTAGCAATTCTTCAGTACTGTTGTAGATATTAGAGAAAGTTTGCACTTCAACTTGGTTAATTTCTTCTGTAGGAAACTCTAAAAAAGGTGTTTCCGTAATTTTATTTTGTTCGGAATTAGTTTCTCCGTAACTATCATTCGAAACCTCAACACAAAAAGTTTCGTCCTGCGTATTTTGCTCCTCCGCAAGTAACGGTTGATTCATTTTTAGTCTACAAATAATTTAGAAAACATAGTTTAGTTAGCGCTTAGTTTAAATATTGAATAATTCATTTTGAAATTTTTTGTTATGAATATACAGCTGTGAAAAAAATAATAGCACCACCACCGCAAGCAATTTTTAAATATTTTCCAAACTCACATTTTTAGCTTTAAGAAAACTTAAACTACATTTTTAGAAATGGCAGACTCTAACAAACCTGGGAATACAAAACAAATCATTTTTTTTTAATGTTTTTAAGTTATTTAAGGAACTACATATATTGAAATTCATAAAACTAGGCGAAACAAAAATAGCACCACTTTTCAAAAATGGATTTAAAATTACAAAAATAAGCAATATGTCAAGAATTCATTTTGAACTATTTATACTACTTCTATATGCAAAATTAAATATTTAGTACAGTGTCCTTAATTGGCAATAACAGATGCGCAGCGCCTTGGCATGAACCAGGACTCTTTAAATTCTTCCCAAAGTGATCCGATAGTGTTTGGCTTGGAAGCAGCAACTGCCTTCTTGGGGTCGGACCACAGATTTTCGATGAGATTCTGGTCAGGCGACTGAGCAGGCCACTGCAAAACGTGCACAGAGTTTTCCCTGAACCATTTCTTTGCTTTCTTGCTGGTGTGTTTGCGGTCATTGTCCTGCTTAAAGACCCATATGAGCGGCATTTAATATTCTGCAAAGGGTAGCATTACTGTCTCCATGATATTCACGTACACGTGCTGATCCATGATGGTTTTTATCCAATGTATTGGACCTACTCCATAGTAGGAGAAGCACTACAGCCTCCATGCTTAATAGTTTTTGTGGTGTACTGGGGTTTGTATTCAGTATTTTTTGGACGTCTAACATATGATCGAGATCCCTTTCCGACAAACATATCCACTTTGGTCTCATCTGACCATTAAATATTTCTCCATATTTGGGATGTCCAATTTGCATGATCCCTGGCAAACTTCATGCGCTTAGTTATATGTGTCGCGTTTAAAAGTGTTATCTTTCCTGGGCTGCAGGGTTTAAGGTTATGTTGCCTAAGATATGTGCGAACTGTTTGGTCCGTCGAATTTATTTTAAGCTCTTTTATAAGGTCAGTAGCAGGCTTGAAGGGATCCTTCTTGCCCTGACGAATCAGTCTTTTGACATGAAGAGGGGTCATAGATCGTTTTCGTCCGCGTGTTTTAGTCTTTTCTTCATATTTTAGGGGGTTTTTAATCATTTTTTTGGAGCATCCTACCAATCGACCAACTTCTTTGCAAGTTTTTCCATCGAATATCAATTTTTTTATAAGATCGCGCTTCTTCGCAGTTCAGTGCTTTCCACGTCCCTTTGTAATTATTATTTTTAACTTTTATGATAGAAACAATGAATTCTTAGTCAAAACTAATGAGCACGTGCATTCGGCAGAGGCAATTCCGCGAAATAGAGGTGATTCATGATGATGGACTAATGGTGCTATTTTTTTTTCGGACCTTTTGGGGCTTTTTTTTAACCCCCAAAAAATATATATAGACAGATATTTGAAGAGCGGTAGCACTGTTTTTGAATATGGGGAATACCAAGCAATCTAAAAAAAATCGCAAAGGCCATCGCATTTTTTTATCACGAACAAAATGTGCTATTATTTTTTTCGCAACTGTATGTTATAGGTCGGGGCAAAGCTTATAATCCACATACATTGATATTATCGGAAGTCTCGACTTTATAGACATAATGCAGATTTTATTCCGAATTGGGAGCATCTTTTGCACGCTCTCTCTCCCCTGCATTGCACAGTGGGTCATGGAGTGATCAGTGCCCATCCCCCGACTCGTACTGCCTAACCAGCGATTTGCTAATATCGACAACAACTAGTACAATGCCCTCGCTCAAAACTGTGTCTTCGACCACAACGAAAACCACCACTGCAATTGCTCAGCGCCCGATACTGTCGACCCATTGCGACAAGCCCCACCTCTCCAAACCAATAAGTTCGAAAAACGCTAACGGAGCGTTAATTCAGAATGGGCCCGATCACTATGTGCAAATTAAAAGGAAATTGAGCCCACAAAATGTGAAGAACAACAATGCAGCTAAAATAACTAAAATAACCGAGAACACTGTGCCACATAAGGCACTAGCAAATAATAGATTTGCGATACTAAGTGTCCCAAATGAAGATGAGATCACCCAAACACCCAAGGCCAAAAAATTAAGACCGCCACCTATTTATGTTCGACAGGCAAATTGTGCTGAACTGGTCAAAAAAATAACTGATACAATTGGCGCAAACACATTCTATGTCACGTACATAAAAAGGGGTAATATAAATGAAACAAAAATACAAGTCAATGACGAACAAAACTATCGATCAGTTGCGAAATACCTCGAAAATGAAAAAATGAATTACTACACCTACCAACTTAAAAGTAGCAAAGGATTACAAGTGGTTATCAAAGGAATCGAACCAACAGTCCCAATCAATGAGATAATAGATGGACTTAACGATAAGGGCTTCGAAGTCAAAATGGCAATGAACATAATAAATAGAAACAAAATTCCCCAGCCAATGTTCAAAGTAGAACTGACACCTGAAAGTATGCATATAAGTAAAAATGAAGTTCACCCAATATACAAGCTTCAATACCTACTGCACCGTAGGATCACCGTTGAGGAACCACACAAACGAAATGGACCGGTCCAATGCACGAATTGCCAGGAATATGGACACACGAAAACCTATTGCACTCTACGGGCAGGGCAGTCTGCGTTGCCTGTGGTGATGTTCATCTCACTGAGGCCTGCCCCGTAAATAAGGAGGACCCATCTGCCAAAAAATGTAGCAACTGTGGGGGAAACCATACTGCCAACTATAGAGGTTGTCCTGTCTATAAAGAATTGAAAAATCGCCTAAGCCAACAAATAACTGCAGCTCAAAACACGGTCGTCCGACAAAACTTACCATATATACCATCAACTACGACTCCAGGAGTTTCTTTTGCTCAGGCGTTAAGTTACAACAACAGGTCGTACGCCTCAGTCTCTAAGCCGACACTTCACCCAACCACAGCTGGAATAATGCAGCATCAGGCATCAAATCAGATCCCAGAAATCTCTGCTCAACATACCCCTGCTAATCCATCCCAATTGCATAGTGGAATTGAGTCAGTGCTGGTTACTATAACAAACACAATGGTAGCAATACAAGAAACGATGCAGGAGCTTATGCGCAACCAAAATCTCCTCCTGGAGCTCCTAATCAAACAGAAATCTGTTTAAATGTCCTGTCTAAATATATGTTTCTGGAATGCAAATGACATTTCGCAGCACAAATGCGAGCTCTTACAGTTCCTCGCTCAACACGACATTGACGCCATGCTCATATCAGAGACTCACCTAACAAATAAAAACTATTTTCATCTCGTTGGCTATGACTTCTACGCGACAAATCATCCCGATGGTAAGGCACATGGAGGTACTGGCGGTCTGATCAAGCATCGCATCAGGCATTATCCATTTATCTACAGGCAACATCAATTTATATTCCGTCAACCGTCAACGACTACAGACGTATTTTTGTATCGCTCCGCGGTGAAAAACAATTAAATCAATAAATCGCGATTAATCATAAATTAATTCGCGAAAAAGCGCTCGGGGTAGGCATGGGTACTTGAGATCGTGCTGCCCATGAATACCATCCAATCGAGTAATAAAGATTAATAGAAATAATAGAAAAGAACAAATGTCAACGTATAAAAGCACCAGCTCGGTAAAGAGCACAAGCACTGTAACCAAAGCCAAAATGAGCCAAGCCCGGCAACAGCAACAAAACGAGCGTCGGCTCTCGGAAGCAAAAAACAACGCGTACTTCTCTATACGCTCGCCAAAGGCAGCAGTACCAACAAAAACTGCATCACTGCAAGTGAACGAGGAGAGAGCACGCTCTCTCTCCCCTGCATTGCACAGTGGGTCATGGAGTGCTCAGTGCCCATCCCCCGACTCGTACTGCCTAACCAGCGATTTGCTAATATCGACAACAACTAGTACAATGCCCTCGCTCAAAACTGTGTCTTCGACCACAACGAAAACCACCACTGCAATTGCTCAGCGACCGATACTGTCGACCCACTGCGACAAGCCCCACCTCTCCAAACCAATAAGTTCAAAAAACGCTAACGGAGCGTTAATTCAGAATGGGCCCGATCACTATGTGCAAATTAAAAGGAAATTGAGCCCACAAAATGTGAAGAACAACAATGCAGCTAAAATAACTAAAATAACCGAGAACAATGTGCCACATAAGGCACTAGCAAATAATAGATTTGCGATACTAAGTGTCCCAAATGAAGATGAGATCACCCAAACACCCAAGGCCAAAAAATTAAGACCGCCACCTATTTATGTTCGACAGGCAAATTGTGCTGAACTGGTCAAAAAAATAACTGATACAATTGGCGCAAACACATTCTTTGTCACGTACATAAAAAGGGGTAATATAAATGAAACAAAAATACAAGTCAATGACGAACAAAACTATCGATCAGTTGCGAAATACCTCGAAAATGAAAAAATGAATTACTACACCTACCAACTTAAAAGTAGCAAAGGATTACAAGTGGTTATCAAAGGAATCGAACCAACAGTCCCAATCAATGAGATAATAGATGGACTTAACGATAAGGGCTTCGAAGTCAAAATGGCAATGAACATAATAAATAGAAATAAAATTCCCCAGCCAATGTTCAAAGTAGAACTGACACCTGACGGAATGCATATAAGTTAAAATAAAGTTCACCCAATATACAAGCTGCAATACCTACTGCACCGTAGGATCACCGTTGAGGAACCACACAAACGAAATGGACCCGACCCACGAAAACTTATTGCACTCTACGGGCAGTCTGCGTTGCCTGTGATGATGATCATCTCACTGGGGCCTGCCCCGTAAATAAGGAGGACCCAAAAAACAAAACAAAAAATACCAAAAAATGTAGCAACTGTGGGGGAAACCAT